AAGTAGAAGGCTATTTATAGCCAAGAAAACCTAATACAAACCTAAATAAAAAAAGGAAACAATTTAGGGTAAAGTCTACAGTAAAAAGGACACAAAATTCGGACTCAAACTCTCTTTCTTGAAGCACAAGTAAGCTGCCAGCAAATAGTCCAAAAGCAGCTTTCATACTAACTTCGCGCCTTTCGTTCGAGGCCTTCCAAAACTCCAATCTTTCATCCAATTCCTTCCCTTTGTAGATAAACATACCTTCTTTCATGTTGTGAAATCCTTTGGACTTGAATAATATCCATTCTCGTCGAATTGAGCTCCCAAGTAGGATTCACAAAACAGTTTCCAGACTTAGCCATTTTCAGGCAGTTTTCAGCTCTCCAACTAGCATCTTTGGATGTCTGGAAAATGATCTAATGGAATTCCTCTTGGGCTACTAGGCAATCCATCATGTAGATAAACTTCTTATCTTCAAAACAAGCTATCAAACTTGAATTTTCATTGAGCCAATTGAGAGAACCAAGCCTCCAAAGTAGGATACCTGAAACTGTTCCAACAATTAACCAAATTCTGCCTTTCTTTTGCCCAACTTCAATAGCTTCTTCGTCAAGTAATTTAAACGTGTAGAGTTGGCTATTTGGGATCATATCACATAATGCTACACTACCTCCTTAGGTTGCATGATACTATAAAGACTGTCAATTCAAAGCATATTGAGCAGGCAATTGCAGGGAACACGTACTTGGGGCCTCAAATTGAAGAATTTGACAATGGACTAGGCTTCAAGCACAAAAAGACAACCAAACATTCACACGCAAACATAATGGAACGCCCCCTCCCCCCCCCCCCCCCCCCCCCCCCGCACTTAACTACGACATTGTCCTCAATGGTGGAAAGATAAGGAGGGTAGAACGAAGTTACTAGATCAAGTGTGAATGATGGTGGATGGGGCAGGAGGTGCATTCTAGGAGGAGAGAGAGTAGTCGAAACACATACACCACACAAAATCTCACAAGGGTTGAGTTATTGACTCTAAAATTGAAGAACAAAACAGAACCAACCAAAAAGAAATAGGGAAAGAAATGCAAACCTACTGGTTGGTTTACCTCCCAACAAACGCTTCTTTCACGTCTTGAGCCAGGAGATGGCTCCTAAGTTTCAGCCCACCCCATAACCTCTTCGAAGTTGAGGTTCTCTTCTATGAGGTGGAGTCTCAAGTCATGAGCATGTGGTGTAGCAAGTGATGCAGATGGCTCGTGCACTTTATGTAGATGAAGTATCCACCCTCGATACCTCTTCTTCTCTTCTTTTCTCATCTCATTCCCCAAACCAGATATGACAACATATATTGAACACTATTGCGTCCACCAAGAGGGATCAATGCCGATATGGCCTTGGTCTGGCAAAGAGACACTGCAAATGGGTCCTTGCCAAGCAGCTCCTCGAAGTTTGGTGGAGATATCAAATTCACATGTAACATAGGGTCGGTGCAATCCTCTTCCACCACAACTTCGTCCTCAGCATGGACGCCAATTTCTTCTTCAACCCCCCTTCCTTCTTAAATATTTGGTATCTCCCCTCGGAAAAGATCAAGAACTCCTTCTACTTCACTTCCTTCATCCTCCACAACTTCTTCCCTCACCCTTTCTCGCTGTTCTTCTTCCACCACGGATTGGAGAGCAAGTAGCCAAGCAATTTCTTTGATGAGATCATCTTGCATCTCCTTGCTCATGACCACCTCTTCAAAGCTCGGCGTGGAATGTGGAAAGGTGTGGTCGGCTACTATAGGACATTCCTGATCATGATCATCATAAGAGCTCTTCGTGACAACTTATGTCTGCTCCACAATGTCCTCGTGATCTTTTTCATCCTTCTCCTCTTCTTGTATGGTAGCAGGAAGGTTGTCTTGAGCAAGTCGTGCACAAGCTTGCTCAACGCCCTCTATGTGCTTCTATATGCTCCGGAGGGTCTCCTCTATTTCACGGTTGGATAACTCAATTTGGGCAATGGCTGAGATATGAAGATCCATCTCGGGAAAGGATCTCTCAGGTACTCGAGAAATGTGCTCCACGAGAAGGCTCAAGTGATAGTTTGGATCTGGCTGTGGAGTGTAGCATGGCTTTGCTGGATGGCCCGTAAAGTTCATCATGGCTAACTCCAGGTCCGATGGTCCTTCTGATAGTGGGATGAATTCTTCTTGATAAGGAGATTTTCTTGAAATGCTCAGGGGCCTGATTATTATTCATAGTAGGGGGTGTTTGGTACTAAAACCCGAATCCATAGTCTTTTACTCCTTGATTGCTCCAAGAAGTCTCGGGGTAATACCACTCGGATGGTGGTTGATATCCCCAATGGTTGGAGAAGCCATGAGGATCCATGTTTCAGATCTGCACAAAAAAAACACCCAAGTGAAAAGCAAGGGTGGAAAATAAAAGAAAAACGATAAAGTAACCAACTTCTGCCTTTCCTAATAATCTAGAAAGTCCGCGGCAATGGTGCCAAAAATATGACACGCTATGACACAACTCCTAACAATGGCCAAGTGTAACCAATGAAAGGGACTGCAGTATAGTGGCACAAGTAATAAATATTGAATCCACAGGTCTCTAGAGCTACTATTTCTTAGCTTCAATTCATTATCTAGCAAACCAAATTAATGATTGATTTACTAAACTACTATACTAACTAAACTAAGGCTAAACTACTAATTACAGGTTGGGAACTCACTCAGGTATGATTCCCCCTAGCTCCTCAATTAGGTCCAATTTGTAATTTCCTTTGTTTGTTTTATTGTTGATTAAACTGCGGAAGATCCGATAATAGCTTGGAATCTCTTAAGCTGACCAAGCCCTCTTAGACAGAATACCCGGTGGGCGACTAACCTCCACCGGAGTACAAAGCTAAGGCAATACACAAAGATCTCCACTAGTGAAATGAATTCCAGTACAAAGTAGTGAATTGACCGACTCTCGTACAATCAATTCCCCACTACCAATTGAGAAAGCTCTCTTACCCCAATCAGATTCTATCTATCAAAGGTTAAAGCATAAATCAAAGGAAAGTGATTAAGATTCAATTGACTCAACAATTATTCCTCAATTGATTAAAACCATTCAGTATAACATCCAAAGTTTCAAAAAAAAAAAGATCCTACCACATGGAACTAAGATTCCTCAAAACCTAAGTGAAGGGAAGTTACTCTGGAGAGAAGAGAGATATTGCAATATAACTTTCCAAATCTTCAATCTTCATATCTAGACTTGTTTCTTGAGCTTCAATGGTGAATACTCCTCCAAAATAACTCCAAGAATGGCTCTAGATCGCCCACTCTCTCTTTAGTTTGTCCCTTGGGTGTTTGGGATCCGAAACCCCAGCTCTTCCTCTCTAAAATCGCAGAAATCAGAATTATACCCGAGCAGGGGCAGAAACACAGTCGGGAACACGGTCGTGTTTATTCCTGCCGTGTATAGTCCCGCCCGTGTTTTGAATTCCTTCAGCAGTCTTCACAAGATGGGCTCTGCATAACAAACACTGGCAAGTGCTAGACAAAACACGGCTGTGTTTTTAGGGAAGCCTGCCCGTGTTTCTTCCTCAAATCTTGTTCCACTATCTTTGATTCTTCGTTTCTTCTCGTTCGAACTCTGAATCAGTCGTCATTTGATCCCAGACGCTTGTAGTCTTGTCCTCTTTCTTTTAATAAAAATCTTACATGATTATCTATCCATAAAATGAGGTAGAAATCCATTATTCTTCAGGTCATGCCCAAGTTTCTTCACCCGAATCGCCAATTGATCTCCGATTGACTTGAAACTTGCGCCTATGCTTCACTTTACGCGCTAGGACATGAAATATGACAAAAAAACATAACCTAGCGTAAAATAGGGCAAGGAGAAAGCTAATCAAATCCAAATTGATCAAGAATGAGGGTGTAAACATGTGTAAATATTGTGTTATCAAGTTCACTTACCTACGCTCCAAGCATGGCATGCTCGATATTCATGCCTCCGCTTGAGGGGGAGTATTGGGAGTAAAGAGGCAACGTTTTGGGTTTGGCCGAGTTGAAGGTCTATAAACCTGCTACCTTGTACCTGTGGAACGTGAAGAAAACAGATAATAAAACCTAAACCGAGAGCATCCGCTCTACGTGGACTAGTCTCGTTCACACCGAATGGGGATACTACATAAATTGTCGTCTTGTGTGATTGGTTTCGTTTTAGTTCTTGTGATATTTTACACATTAGCATATATGCGGCGATGGCCAGAGGTCTGCTAACAACACCATAATAATCTTATGGAAAGTCATTATCTCATTGAATTACAAAAGAAACAGTAAAACATAAACACTAAATTGGACAATCCAAATCAAGCCATTAGCCCTAAATCAAGCCACTATTGCCAAGCACCACGGTGCTCATAGAGTGAATATGGAAAAACCCAAAGGAATGCATGCCTTACTCCAATTTCTGATGGTGAAAATGGAAGCCACCAAGCGATATCATAAAGAAAACCCAATCTGTATTGCCCTTGGATGTAAACCAGAGTGACATCGAATGCGATGAATCTCTGGCCAACGAAACCAAAGCCAGTAATGTCCAAATCAAGTCGATGAATTGCGCCGACCACACTACAAAAAAAATATGGTTTTGGAGTCAAATAATTAGAGACAATTATTGTACCTCACTCTATATATAACGTATAGTCGCAAATACATTATTTCTCTCTATACCTCATATTATTGGCCTCTGTTTCATAATATTAATTTTAACTTATATTAAAAGAATATAAAATAATAGTTTTAGAAGCAAATACAAATGTTTCATATAGTTATGTTATATGGAGGCAAATCTAAAGATTTTTAGAAACAAATGCTAATCCTAACTATAGATATCTTATATAGAGACAAATATAATTCTTTCAGGGACAAATATGAATGGTCCCATTAATTTTAAAAGCTACTCCATTCTCGCTTTGGAAACAAATATAAATGCTTCTGTAGCAATTAAGCATGTCAACTTCGCACAATAATATATGTAGATCAATAATTTATTTGAAAAAAATAATATTTCATCTCTCTGTTCATTTCTTTAATTTAGGAAAAATCTAAATCATCCACTACTATAATCCCTACCGTTCATTCGTCTCCAAATAAATGAATATCCTATACCTAACTCTCTAATTCCTCTCTCGGCCAAATGGAGCCTTTTAATCTTCCTTCTCATCACCGCCTCCTCTTATTTCTGCTTCTCTTCTTTTGGGGTCTTCTTTTGGGGACTTTAAATCTTCTTTTTAGTTCGTGCCTTTTCATTTGAGGCAAATAGTGCAGTGATTGACTACAAGGAAGAGGGCGAATGGCAAGTTATTCGGGTGACCGTATGGGAATGGCGGCGTTGATGGAGATAAGATGTTATTGACCCATATCGCACAACCCCGATCAAGCCTGGTCTGCGTCTTTGGCATGTGTCGCCAGTCACTAATCTCGCTCTCATTCAAGATCCAGATTGTACAAGTCTCCAGAGAATAGATTTACCTCTTTACGGTGGGTTAATCATTTTAGTAGATTTGAGATTTGTGTAGATCTAGTCTCTGATTTTTTGGATGTTTTTTTTTTATTTTTGGATTCTTAGATTTTGATGAGGTGCTAGCAGCTCAACAACATTTCCTTCTCCTCCCTCATATGTAGCCATCACCGGCGCCACCGGATCCAGATCGTCGTTTGTACTCTTCTTCACCTTCCTACATCAAGGTGGCGAATCTCCTCAGATATTTGCAGTAACAATCAACGTTGATCGAGTCTCTGACACCGACACCCCATCCTTCGTCGTTGGATTCCTCTTCTCGTCTTAGCAGTCGACTATGTCACGAGAGAGGAAGAACAATGGCGTGGAGGAGATGATTAGCTTAGTTAATGTAGTAGAAGCAATGTATTCTTTATGTATTGGTTGTATTTATGTTTTTATGAGCAATGTATTCATGTATTTTAAAAATAAGTGTTAGCGAACTAACCACTTGGCCCCAATAACTCGAGTTGTTGGGAACGGGATAGTTAAGCCTTTTAACCTCTTATACGCCCCTTCAAACGAAAGCCAATGCCGAATTGTGGATTTTTTTACGGTTTGCACAGGTTGAACCCTTGTGCTGCCAAACCACGAGGCTTTAGTTTGCACAGGTTGGACATACCATTCCTTGTGCTAAACGAATTGGCATGAAATGGGGGTCGTTATGAGGATTCGAAACCATGACCTTTTGGTTCTTGGCTTTGATACCATGTTAGCGAACTAACCACCTGTTAGCGAACTAACCACTTGACCCCAATAACTCGAGTTGTTGGAAAAGGGATAGTTAAGCCTTTTTAACCTCTTATACGCCCCCTCAAACGAAAGCCTACCTTTGTCGGGGTTTTTTTATACGTTTTGCACAGGTTGAACGTCTCATTCCTAGTGCTGCCAAACCCATTAGGCTTTCAGTTTGTACAGGTTGGACATACCATTCCTTGTACTAAACCATTGTTTGCTTAAATTGGGGGTCGTCATGAGGATTCGAAACCATGACCTTTCGGTTCTAGGCTCTAATACCATGTTAGCGAACTAACCACTTGGCCCCAATAACTCGAGTTGTTGGGAAAGGGATAGTTAAGCCTTTTAACCTCTTATAATAAGTGTAATAAAAATTTATTAATAAAATTTGAATTGTTGTTTGTCTTTATAAAATTGAATGGTGTGGGTGCTCTTTATATTCCACGAAAGAAAATTGTCAACTCGAAAGCAAATTAAAATTGAATCAAAATGATGAAAGTTGAATTAGGATAGAAGCAAAATTATTTGCTTTCAAAACAAATATTAATGTTACGATAAGGTATTCTAAACACAAATATAATTGTCTTCAAATCTAGTAATAGGAACAAAAACATTTCTCTCTAAAACCAAATAAGAATATGAAAATAGGGTTTTAAAGTGGAATTGCAATAAAAAAAATTGACTGACATTCCTCAATTACAAACAAATATTATTTGCATATGTATTTGCTTCTAAAAAGAATTAGAGACAGAGGCGTCCAATTTAGATAAACTATTTGCTTCCAAAGATATATAGAAACAAATAAATGGGTTTTAGACGCAAATAACCTCTGCATCTATAGCCATGTTTTCTTGTAGTGCAGCTTTTTCTGATAAATAGCTCTATTAATTAAAATGATAGAAAGAAAAGAAATACAAAGCATGCAATCTGCTGTAGAAACTCCAAATACAAACAAAAGAAACAGGCAAGCAACATATGTCTGGAAACACGAGCAAATAATAACTTTTCCAATACCCCTACCACTATGAAATCCTACCAAATCAGTCCTAATCACTCTGCTACACTAATCACACAAATGGCATACAACCCTGTTACTTTGTATCTCTTCAATCTATATAAGTGAATCGTCATGTAACATCTCCATTATCATTATTCTTATTTGCTAACACAAGAAGGCAAGATAGAAAATGCTAGAGTAACATTAAACGATCTTTTCAAAATAATGGACCATGGTTCCCCGGTAACGGCGCCAAAAACTTGAATCACCACAGATACACCGCGAATTAATCCCGACTAGAGCTCAAGAATAAACTCTATTTGGGTGCAATATAGAGCGAGTATGTTTTAATTGTCAAACCCGAGCGGATCCATGTACCCCTACTTCAATCGCTTAGTTTTTATCTAGCAAAAGTTTTTGGGTTTAGAACTAAGAAGCCTACAAATGAATACAAGCAAGTAAAGTAAATCGAGGTTGTCCCAATGAGATAAGAGTTCACCCGGGTATTGCTCCCCCTAGCTAAAAATTACGACTTGTTAGATCGAATGGTCGTGTGTGGTGAGGGGGTTGTAAACGGTAGGGAAGTGCAACAAGTAGCCAAGTGCATTAACCTAGATAGGAGACAATGGATTGCCTAAGAAAACCAAGTATTCAAGCTTTTTCAAAGAAAGGAAGGGGGTTTTCTCTCTACCTAGGTTAGAATGGCAATTAGATTGATAGGCTTTCACACAACACAATCATTCATGAATAATACCTCACATTCACATTAAAAAAAATGACACACAAATCATTCAATCCATACAAACATTCACATAATTGTAGCTAGGGTAAAATACCCAAGTAAATAGGTAGGCTATTCCATAGCTAGGCAAAGGAAAACAAGGAAAAGGAGAGAAAGAACCATGAAGAGATGAAAATCTTTCCTCCTTGTTGCTTGAATCTCCCTTGAGAAGAAGAAACCTTCACTCCTCTAGCTTGAAATGAGCCCAATCTCCTTCTTCCTCCTTTGAAAGACCCTTTTCTCTCTCTAGAATAGGGAGAGGGAACCCTAATCTCTCACTAGAAACCCTCCTTTATTCTGAAACTAAAACCCTAGAAAAAGCTCCCCATCTCACTTCCCTTTTATACCCAGATCGGGCTTAGATCACAGTCCCAGTTCACGGTCGTGAACTGAAAGCACGGATTGTGATCTCATGGCAAACGCGCCGCATCACTTAGTCGAGTTCACGGGCAATGGCCAGAGTTCACAGTCTTACAACCGTGAACTGACTTGAGTCCAATGAGACTGAAATCTGCTCTGGACCCTCCACACTTCACGATTTTCACTTTTTCACGCTTTTCGACTCCCAATCGACCCGAAACTTGTCTTCAACCTTCCCACACGTGCTAGGACCTGAAATATAACAAAACAAGCACAACCTAGCGTAAAATAGGTCGAGAGACGATGAAATGCAAAGTTAAGCTATCAAGTAATGAGGGTAAAAATGTGTGCATTTAGACCCGAATCACATCAACCGATACTTTCACTAATGTTCCGACTTTTGCTCAGTTCTGCAACTAAATACTTGAAGCACTCCCTTGCGCAAAATGGAGAGTTGAAATTCTAGTCCTGTCAGTATGGATCTATGAACTATATAACCTAACCAAATCATTAAGTTGATTATATTGGTTTAATGTTGAGTAGGATAATCAAAGGCTATTTTCATGAACACATTGGTATAGTTATGGTCTGTGGCACAAAACTTGGAAACTCTTAAGAAACAGATTTAGTGGAATCAAGTAAAGTTTTCTAACCTAGTTTTTAGTAAATGTAATAGCTTCAAACAACAAGAGAATACCTCCCTTGAACATATCTCTAAGCTTTAGTCCACCATCAATCAATAAAATGCTCGTTATGCAACCTCTGACCCAAACCTAAATGACCCAAATGAGCAACCTCTGGATTTGAAGGAAGATAATAGTGTCACACCTTTTTGATTTGACAAGAGATGGCGGTTTATCGATTGCCATACTCAAATCGTGTAGAAGATTTGGGAAGAGGAAGGGGACATGAGCTCAAAGTTACAGAGTTGTGGTAATGAGCTAAGTGTTTAGGCTAAGGAAGATCGACGAACTAAAGTCAAGAGGGAGACTAAGATCAAGACGAGGCTTCTCCAGCTACAGGTTGTGGATGGAGAGGGCTCGCTTAGGGATGGACAAATGTTGCTTACTAAGGAACTACATGTTCTTTGGGAAAAGGAAGATGAATTCCGGGCACAGACATCCAGATTGAATTGGTTATAAGAAGGTGACCAGAACTCATCTTTCTTTCATGTCTCAACTATTAAAAGGAGAAATAAAACCGCATTCTGAGACTTAAGAATGATCAAGGAGATTGGATTGATGATCATGCAACTCTTAGAGGCCTTGCTTCGAGCTTCTACCAGGATTTGTTTACAGATAAAGACCTTTCCTCCCTCTATTTCAACCTTGAAGGTTTTCCTAGAATGGTGAGTCCATAAATGAATGTCTCACTCATTGCGCCCTTGACTAATGATGAGATTCGTAGAGCAGTTTCTGATTTGGCATCGTATAAAGCGATAGGATCTGACGGTTTTCCAGGCTTGTTTTTCAGACGTTACTGGGAGTTATGTGAGAAGCAGTTCTTCGAAGAAATCAATTGCTTCTTCATGGATGGCATTTTGCAGCCAGGATGGAATGATACTTTTATCACCATCATCCCAAAGGTTCTTAATTCGGAGTCATTTGGTCACTTTCTCCCTATTAGCTGTTGCAACTTGAAAAATAAAGTTATTACGAAGATAATGACTACAAGACTTCAAGTTTGGCTTTCATCCTAGATTTCTGAACTGTAGTCAGCTTTTACAGGGGGGGGGGGAGACAGATTCAGGTCAATACTATTATTGTGCATGAAGTCCTCAACCACTTCAAAAAACATAAAATAGGAAAGAGGAAATATATGATGCTGAAACTTTATATGTAGACAACATATGATCTTGTCGAGTGGGAATGCATGATCAACATTCTCAAGGCCTACGGTTTTGACTCTACTTGGTGCGATTGGGTTAGAACTTGCATTTCTACTGTGAGTTTCAGGGTTCTCTTCAATGGAATGCCATCTGAAGCATTCTCTCCTTCGAGGGGAATTCGACAGGAAGACCTTCTCTTCTCTCCCCCCTCATGTTCATTCTCACGACGAATGCTCTCTCCTTTTTTTATCGAGAAGTCATGTTTTACCAACCTCATTAAAGGCCTTAAGCTCAATAGCAGGTGCCCTCACCTTATCCACTGCCTTTTTGCTGATGATGCTGGCTTTTTTGGGGAGGCCTCACGAGAGGAAGCTTCTCATTTGATGGAGATTGTTCAGGATTATTGAGCCCTCATGGGCAGGAGATTAATAAAGCCAAGTCATCAGTTTTCTTTAGCTTCAATGTGCTCGAAGCCAAGAGACATGCCATCACAAGTTTGCTTGGGTTCGAGAACGAGATTTGCCACTCCAAGTACCTTGGAGTCCCTACTTCCTGGGGCAGATAAGAAAAGAAACCTTTAAGTTCCTGATTGATAAGATGGAATCCTAAGGAGAAAATTGGAAAACCTTGCTTCTTTCACAGGAGGAAAAGAGGTTCTTCTCACATCCATCTTTCAATCTATCCCATCCTACTTGATGTGTATTTTTCATGTTCTCGCAATCTACTACTAATAAGATGGATAGCATGCTCAAGAGGCTTTTCTAGTCAGGATCAACAACGAAGGAAACCATACACTAGAGAGCTGGGAATGTCCTCTATGCCCCCTAAAGATGAAGGTGGCTTGGGTTTCAGGCCTTTTTAGTTTTTCAATCTCGCTTTGCTTGCAAAGCAAGCATGGAGGATCATTTCATCTCCTAATGCTTTATGGGTTAAGCTTCTTAAGGGTCTCTACTTTTCTAAGGCTGAGTTCAGAGAAACCCGAAATGGATGTCGAGCTTCATGGATTTGGGTAAGTATCTATGATGTAAGGAAGTGGATGGGGTATGATCTAGTTAAGGTTGTTGGGAATAGCAGGAATACTAGAATCTTCAATGAGCCCGGGTTCCCAACCAGAAATGATGGGAGCATTGTAAGCCTTGTCAATGATATGAGGAGGGTTTGCGATCTTGTCAATTAGAGTAGTAATGACTGAGATTTTTTAGGAACACTCGGTGGAAGATTAGCAGGCTATTCGCATGATCCTGATTGGTTCCCAGAATATGGATGACTTCTGGGTGTAGTGCTTTACGGCAAATGGGGATTTCTCGATTCATTCTGCCTTTCATGCTTTCCATGATTCTCATCGGAGGGGATTGGCGGAGAACTCTCATGTGCCCCAGCCTAATCAGGAGAAATGAAAATGGATTTGGAGCCTTTCCTTACCACCCAAGGTTAAACTTTTCGTATGGAAAGCATCTCGGAGAGCTCTGGCAACCAAATCGAATCTCTTCTCCCAAGAATGTCTTGTCTGGTCTCATGAGGAGGAGTCCATCCACCATGTTCTCTGCGAATGTGGTCATGTAAAGGAGGCCTGACTTCACCTTGCTCTTGAGTTTTCCCTTCCTCCCACTTCGTGTTCAGTTGTTGACTGGCTTTTGGCTGTAGGGAAGGCCTGTGTTCATCATTTTGCGCATAAGCTGGCTTACCATCTTTGGAATACTTGGAAGTAGGGGTGGGTGTTCGGTCAGTTCGGTTTGAACTGAACCAAACCAGGACATGCCGATTTTCCGAAGTGACCAGCACCCCAACCGAATTATAGCTCGGGTTGGTTTTAATGCCCAGAACCAAAATGTTCAGCTGCTGCCCATTTTTACCTGCTGTCTTCTTGTCTGTTTCGCTGGAACTGGAAATTTAGCATGGGGCTGGCTAATCACTGTTGCAATTTTTTTATACTTTTCCACCTGCCATTTCACATGTCTATCAAATACAATGAATTAAAATGGGAACTTGTACATCGGCGAAAGATTCAGTGGCGCCCGGAGGAGACTCGGCGGCCGGCGGGTGCTTGCCTGGGTCTGGGTCACTGGGTGGGATTGCGGGAGGCGGAGAGGCAGAGACTGGTGCCTGGTGGCGAGCAGCGAGGGTGAGGTTCGAGTCGAGAGGAAGACGAAGTAGCCTCTCTCAGGTCGGGCCGTCGACATCGCCGTGCTCGGGCATTGGAGGTGGAAATCTAATCGGCATTCGGTGCAAGTGCGTCGGATAGTTCCCCTTCCCTTTCCCTTTGCCGCGATTCTTCCTTTCCTTCCTCAGTTCCCCTTCCCTTTCCCTTTGCCGCGATTTCGTCAATTGGATAGGCCGCTAGGCGGCAGGCGCTAGGGTTAGGTCGCAGACGACTGTGGGTCGAGTTGTTGAAGTCTGAAGAGGCCACCAGCCCACCAGACGCAGCAGATGGCAGCAAGCAGGGAGCAGGCCCAGTCGCCCAGGCCATGATGGGAAGCCCAATCCAATTTGTTGGACTGGCGCGGAGTGGGCTGAAAAAAGAAGGCTGGGCCGCGAGTATTGGGCTGGGATTCATGCAGTGGGTTTATATTTTCGGAATTTCGGGTCGGTTCAAACGAACCTGATTTCCGAAATTTCCCCTATTTACATCCGAATTTCGAACCTAATTACAAGTATTTAGGTTTCGATCGGTTTTTATTCGATTCGGTTTGGTAAAACCGAACCTAATGCCCATCCCTACTTGGAAGGCTCGAAATGAAAAGGTCTTCAGGAATCTCACCCCCTAGCCCCTCGAACTTGCTCTACTTTTGTGCAAGATTTTCAACTCTGGAAAACTTGCCCGAAGAAGAACAAGGAGGGAAACCCTGTCTCAAGCTAGCCTATCCCAGCCCCATCTCATTCTGCACCACCGCCAAGTAATCTCAACTTTGAGATTCACTGTGATGGATCGTTTTTCATTACTAACACCCATGGTGAAGTGTGTGATTGGATGGCTGACCCCCTACTCTGCAACTCAGCTTTGGAAGCGGAAGCGAGGGGCATTACATGAAGGATGCTTGCTTGCAATGGACCTCCATAGTCCATGCATGATCCGTAATGACTATAAAGTTTTGGTGGACTTTGTTCGAGGTCCAAGGAAGAATTGGCCTTGGGTGATTATGGTGAGGCTTGATAGTATCACCCCTCTGCTTCGGCAAGCACCATTGGTTGGTCTCTCCTTTGTGCGTCGTGCATGCAATGTCTGAGGCAACTGGGTTGCTCGTTCATGTGCAAAACAGCATCTTCCTGAGGGTTGGATCACCATCCTTAGGCCTCGTTTGGAACCTCCGATTCCAGACGTTGTATTCTCAGTATACATGTATTCTATAGAATACAACATTTTTTGACTTGATGTAATAACAAAATGCATGTATTCATAGTCCATGTTGTATTCCTAATACATAGAAAATGATGTATAGTGAATCTTACCTTTTTGGTGAGATTTTAGTATCCATAATTCATTTAAACTATAATCCATGCATTCTTTTATGGTTTCCAAACAATGAATTTTCAAACCCACATTTTCTTAGCATGCACATAATGTTTAATACACATTCTGGTAATACATCATTTCCAAAATCAAAGGTTTCCCTTAATGTAATCTCCCTACACTTTGTAATCGTGTTTGAGTTTTTGGTATGTACCCTTTGTTTGGGAAGAGGTGCAAGAGGAGGGGTGTATTTTATGGGGGGTAAATGACATTACCGAGATAATTGCACCTGTTTGGTTAAAATTGAATAGTGGCAGGGGTGGAGAAAGTAGTGGCAAATTTACTATTCCACTTCTCTCCAAATCCAGGTGCAAAGGAGGAGATGAGTGAGGTTTGATTATCATATTAGAAGGAAGGGTGAGCTTTTTGGTTGCGAGGGAGAGAATGGTGGGCCATAGAGAGTGAGCACGTTGGAAATGGGTGGGTTTTGAGTTTATTTTATTTGTTGTATATATATATTTTAATTATGATAATTATTATATTCATATTTATGTTTTACCAACACAATTTGCACCCACTTACTTTATCTACCAAACAACAATTTGCACCTCAATTTACACTCACTTATAATTTGCTCCCTCCTATAATTTACACCTCAACTTGCACCCTGGAAAATGCACCCCCGATTGCCAAACATAGTGTAGAGTCTTTTGAAAAAAAAAAAAAACTAACTGACTAACGGACCCGTCAAGTCAACTGTCCGTTTAACGTCTAGAGAATAACGCCATTTGCTACAGAAGGAGGGAAAATGAAAATAAATGGATTGTTCAAAGTTCAAACACAAGCAATTACGCACAGTTTCCCCCCGATTTCATTTTATTGCCGCGAGAGAGACAGCCAGGCAAACGCCCACTATTCTCTTCGTCTCTGCCTTTCCATCTCCCTCCTCCCTCCGATCCCCTCTTTCTTCCAGATTTGTCTCCTCCGTCGTCATCGTGGCCGCTTGCCCGGTGGTGGCTCGATTCGTCGTCGCGGCTCTCTCAATCCTGACCGGAAATCAATCGACCGGAACCCTAGGTTTCGGGACTGTTTGAGCCGAGCGGAGTGATTGGTAGATTATCTTTGGATGCTTTTTGCTCGGAAGAACTTTATTTAGGTTCTCTTCATAGATAACTGCAGGCTGATTTGGGTGCTTTCAGGGAGCTGCAGATTTCCCGTTTGATGAGGTGATTTTGTAATACTTTTTCGTGCGTTTGAATCTGTTTTGATCCTCTCTGCAGTTTTTGATTTTGTTTATTGCATAATAAGAAGCCATTGAACTTATTAGGTTGTGAGCTGAGTGGCGGACGGGTTGCGGTTAAGTGATTCAGCGTTCTTTAATGGCAAAAGTGGCGCCGCCTGCTTCTTTACCTCCCAATTCTCTGCAAATTGGCGGGGGTCCTTTAAATGTTGGTCCGATGGCCAAGAGGAAGACGCCGTCTGACCTCAGAGTACGTTTCCAGTTGTTGATTCATCTTTCCATTGTTCAAAGTTTGGGTCTTTAAGCTTTCACAGGCGCCAAGTTCTTAGTTCATCTAGTGGTTCAGTTTAGAAGGACTTATTATCCAACATTCCTTTTGAACTGCAGCGAGAGCAGTTGAGGAGGACAAGTATAGATGAGCTTATGGGGGAATCTAAGCTATCTATGCCTGGGAAAACGAAGTGAGTTTCCAACTTATCTTCTGCTTAAGTCGATTAGTCTCTTCCATTCCGAGGGTTTAATTCATGGGCAATTACTTTATTGTGTCCCAGCAACACTGGCGAGGCAGAGAATGGGGTTAAGAAACCTGATGTGTTCAGGAATCCAAAGTATATTCATACTCGCCTGGATGAAGTGTATCCCATTAAAAAGTCGAGATTGGGGATCCTCCCTGTGAAAGAGAAAGTAAAGGTGATTCTAGTCAATCCATTTTGCTTAGAACTTTGTTTTTGAAAGATTGTAACATGCTTTATTTTCTTTGGAAAGCAGGAAGACAAATCAACCGAGCAACTTGAAAGTCTGAAGAATCTTCCCATTCTTACCAATTTGGCACCCGAGAAGCGAGAAACCTGGTATTTGTTCGACCTGACCTCATGTTAATGGAAGTTATACATGTTCTGATTTGCTGTATCCTACACTCTCCTTTCAGCTCGGAGAAACTTGTAGCTCATGTGGATGTCTCAACAGATTGTAGCACAAAAGCTCACAAAACAATTGAAAAATGTAGTCAAAATATATTTCGTACAGTTGCTGAGCTTTCGACTTATGGGAAACAATCCTCAGGCCTTGCAGTTGTTGACATGGTATGATTTTGTTTTGTTCCTCTTTTGTTGTAGTAACTAGATGTGCATTATTCTTACAAGTTGTTTCCTTTGTTTTTGTAGGATAAGGCCTTGAAAGGATTGGCTGCTTGTGAACCCGCAAGCCATTCACGTTTAAATACTGATACCACTGGGAAATCAGGCCATTACTCTGACAATTTCTGCTCAGAGTGCTGCATACCTGGCAAGAAACCTCCACTCGATTTTACTTTGAAAACAAAAATGCGACTGTTGTGTGCTTGCTCAGTGAGTGGGTATGTACAGATGTACCTGCAATGCAAATGTTTTCATTCAACGTGTTAGTCGCTGAACCATGCTTGCATTCACCTATGTGAATGATTTTATCAGAAAGCCACGTTTATTCCCAACTGTTTAAACATGTTCAGGTTTCACAGGTCAATCTTGTCTAGCACATACAGAACCACTCCACAGTTCATTTTTCAACAGGGCTGTGCTGAAGAAAGCTGTGGCCCATTACAAACCCTGAATTCCCAATTGTGTAACCCTAAATCTCTGCATTCTTGGGTTTATCCACAATCTACATTACCACCTGCTGTCATTTCAGTATTGTCTTCATCAGCTGCAGAGGGAGGTTTGTCATACATATGTTTCTGATGATTTCTATTAATTGTTATCTTCATGATCTGAACTTTGTCTTTCTGTTCAATCGATAGATTTTCTAAGGAAACGGCAAGTGGCTTGGGCGGATTCGTTTCGGAGTCTCTATTACTTGCTTCGCAAGAACATTTGCAGCATTTTTTATGGTAAGTTCCCCATATGTATGTGAGGCCGTATCTTCCATTTTTTATGTGCAGCTTTATCTAAGAGTTTGTATTTTTTCTTGAATCTGAACACGTTCGATTTGTAATGGAACATGTAGCACTTATCAACTATAATTTCATTGTGTAATGACATGCTATGAGTGTATTCTAAACTTCTCCCCTCTTTTTGGAAACTTGTGTAGTTTGTACTTCACACTTTGTGGTTATGTTCACCAATGGTGGAGGCTCGGGGTGCAGCGCCTACATCTCGCAATCAACTATAAATCTCCGGTCTTTGTTAAGAGAACATGTATGATATGTACCTGCAATGTTTTTACTTGCACAGTAATTTGTATGTCTTTACTAGCTGCTTAATCTGGTATTATCAGTTGCAGTATAGTTTTTGTGCTTTCCAATCCATGCATCACTTGATTCTGAAATTAGGATAATCTTTGTCCGGCTCTTGATCAATGTTTCTACATATTCATTGTTTTCCTCCTGTTTCGGGGCCCGATATATGTTTTTACATATGAAAGTAATATCTGTGTTCCTAAAAATCTTGCATCTCATGTTCAGTGAATCTCTATTTACCGCCGGGAATTTGTTTTCTTGAGCAGAACCTCTTATTGACTTGAACAGAGGAAATCTTTATTGCCATGTATCTTGTACTAGGAGATCCATCTTTTATCTGGACTGTTTTTTTTTTTTGTTATCTTGAACATGACTTGTGAACATGGTTAGTATATTATTATGTGTTCTCTGTCCGAACCTTGTGATAGTTTCTGAAATTAAACTGCTCCAATCGAATGCCAATTAGGCTGAGCGCAGCACTTTGGATCTTTCTTTTCGTATTGGTTTAGAGATGATATTTGTCCTCATTTTACTCTTAGTGTGCATATGTTTTACTTTTACTCGTGCAAGGTTGGTGGAACCTTATACTTTCAGTGGAGATGGTAGCAATAAAGGAACAAAAAATGACCTAATATGTGCATAATTTACTCTGTTTTGACCTAGGATGTGTGCTTCTCTATGCCACTTTGCCATTCCAAAGTGGAGCAAGTTGCCACTGAACATCTGGTTGAGCTAGCAGCAATTCGGAGGGAAAACTTGGGCCAGGTTTGTCCTCGCTTTTCCTGTTTCAACACCCAACATTTTGTCTATTTACTGGAACTTTCTTGTTCCGCGATGAGCTGCTAACTTAAACATGAAACATAACTGCAGTTTCAGTCCAATCCCACATCTGGTGATATGAAATTTGATATTTCACTTTATTGCCCATTGTAAATCAATGCAGGTTCGGAATCCTAGTTCCTTGGACAATGTTGATAATACCCCAGAATCCTTACTGGCCTTCAAGGAAAATATACATGTACAGGGACTCTATGATTTCCTCTTAAATTACAGGTGGTGCACTTTGTGTTTGCAGCAGACAAAGAAATAGATATTGTTAAGTTGGTTTGACTGAGTATCATACTTCATTTCCTGCTTCACAGATCCTCCCTGACTCTCTTGTCTGGAGTGGACGTTCCAGTACTGTATTCACCTATTCCATTTCCAAACGCTGCCCTTTCTGCTCCAGAAGTTAGTATTCCTATCCAATGCCAAGCAGGCTATGGACAGTTTTGTCTTCATATCAACGCATTTCTCATACTGCTTTTAACTTGCTAAGAATCAGTCTCTCTGTGACAGATAAGTTGTGTGGATATGAAGAGAGCTGACCATGCTGAAGCTTCCCCTAAAGATGGCTCATCTGTCACTCTCAGCTCAATTATTGAAGTAAAGGGAACATTTATCCCGCCATGGATTGTTAGCCGCATTTGTGCCCTGATGAGCTGTGAGGCAACGAACTTCGAGGCAAGGTACGAGTACAATCTCATTTCTCTTCCCGCATCACTTGCTAGGTTTGCCAAAAACCAGACACGTTCTCAAATCCATTGCCGTTCACATTCCTTATTGATATTAATTTTGCAGCTTTGCTACAGAACCCACTTCGATCGGCTTGAATGTTGCGATTAAGAATTTTGATGAGAAATCCAACTCTGTTGTGGAAACAGTACAAGAAAGTGGTAGCAGTGCTTTAGGCTTGTCCGAAGCAATTGTTGCTCCTTGCTTGAGCTCAGGCTTTTAACAGGATTGAAGTATAGGGATAATTCTTACATAGCCTCTCTCTCACCAGCATGAGAGGTGTCCTTTTAAACACTACTGGTCTTCACCTTTTTGCCTGTTTAGAATTGAATCAACCCATCTCCTTTCTTTTAGCCTTTGCAATTTATTTTCATATTTGCAGCTACTAGCTGCCATAAACATGGACAAAGCAAGAGGAATTTGAAGTAAAACAGAGAACACAATTGTTGTTTCCAGTTCTTTGGTTTTGGTCTCATGAAGCTTAGGTAAGACACGGATTGGTGCAAATGCAAGTCAATCTCTTTTGATTTTCTGGCCTGGCTTTGCTCCAGGGTGTAATTATCTTTTTGTCTAATCAATATATGATGATCTTTTGTTTAAAAAAAAAAAACTTTATGGGCACGAGCACGGACACGGTATATAAGTGGGTTGTGTCGGGCCTAATATTTTCGAGACTTTATTGAGTATAAGAAAGGACATGGCACAAAAATAATATTTATTTGATAGAAAATAAGTATAAAAAGAATTATATGTTCAAATATTACAAAACACAAGTAGAAAAATAATTATTTGTTGTTGTTAGAAGTGTCATAAAGATATATACGTAATTATTAACACAAGTAAAAATGGACAAAGAATTAAACAAGGCCAAATCACACTCGCTATACTTTCAATTTTCTTTTCCCCCCTATTTGTTACTTTTCTCAAACATTATCGGTTAATACTATCTTTCTCCGTCCAATTTTCACATTCTTTTTCATTCTCTCTTTTGTTTTCGTCCTTTTCATTAAACACGAATACGAGCATGACACGAGCATGAATAGGCACGACACGATTCGAATTGTGCCCGGGCTGGGCCTAGCAAAGTTGACAAATGGGCTTGCATGGCACGACACGAAAACTGACGGCCGTGCCAAGCACGACACTAAATAAATAGGCTCGAAGTGTGCCCGTGTCGTGCCGGCCCAAGCACGGCCCAGCGCCCATATACACATGCAATGCAACAATTCGATCTTTAATGGGGGAAAAAAAAAATACAAGAGGGAAGCATTTTCTAAGAGGTAATGACAAGATTGACTAAGTTGATTTATTTGTCAGATTAAGACTGAAGTGAATATGATAAAAATTTGAGTAAAACCATAAGAGATGATTGAAGATAGAATGGAAGCAGAAGGGATGTTTGAACCTTGCAACATGCTGTGTCCTAGTTGGGTATATTAAAAACCAGTTTATTTCGAGAATTCCAGATTCTCTATACCAATTACCAAAGAGACATATTAGAGAATAAGTATATGGAAGTGAAGAGAAAATATAGCACTACGCTACAATAGACTAAAATTGTTAATAGAGGCCGATACAAGAAAATCACTTTAACGCACAAGTGACAGAACTGGTGCAGCTAAAGAACAAGTCCGATCGAGTTAACGCTACATAATTCATACCTTGATTCTCAACTTTCCATTACCAATAATCCATGCAAGAACAAGTTCCATCTCTAAAATGATGGAACCTATTCCTATCCCTAACAATAAACTCCCTCTCATAAACCTTAGATATCAACTTAGTAGCTGTATGACAATCCTCGCAGAACCTCAAGTTCTTTACTATCCTAATAGGCTTACCTCTATCTCTACTCTTCATGAGCCCATAAGCAATTGCAAGCTTCTCGCTGTGTCGATAAATAACACTTTCTTTCTCTTCTTCCTCTACATCAAACAGAGCATCATCCGTGTTACCCAGGTAACCTACAACCCTAATCTTCTTTACTATATCTTCCCACATCCTCTCGATCTCCTCGATTTCCGGGTGAGCCTTCTCTCCTATGGTGAATCTATGTACTACACCATCAAACTCGATCAAGCTATAACCAGGCGCTTTAGTCACTCCCTTCTCTTTCATCACCACCCTCATCTTCTCGACATTCTTCCACCGGTTCGCCCGTGCATAAATGTTGGACAACAATACGTAGTAGCCACTGTGCTCGGGTTGCAACTCGATCAGGATCTTGCCGACCCTTTCAGCCACAACGGCATTTCTGTGTATCTTGCAGGCGCCGAGCAATGCTCCCCAAATCGGTGCGTTAGGCTTGATCGGCATGTCGAGGATAAACTTCTCAGCTTCCGCTAGCTTCCCAGCTCGACCCAGTAGATCGACAATGCAGCCATAGTGTTCGAGCCTAGGCTGAATGTTATGATCTCTCTGCATGCTGTCGAATATGTCTTGCCCTTTTTTTACCAAGCCTCCATGGCTGCAAGCCGAAAGAACTGCGGTAAACGTGATGTCACGAGGGGTTATCCTAGTGGATAACATGTGGGTGAAGTATTCGACTGCCTTGTCTGCATATCCATGCATTGCGAAGCCTGAGATGAGAGCTGTCCAACTCAAGGCATCCTTGTCGGGAATTTGGTCGAACACTTGGAGGGCTTTATCAATTGAGCCGCACTTCGCATACATTTCCACAAGAGCAGTTCCGAGGATAACGTTTACGGTCAGATTGTTCATGACAATGTACTCGTGAGCCTTCTCTCCGATTTCTAAAGCTCCCAGATGAGCACAGGAAGCAATCACGCTGACCATTACTTTTTCATTAGCTCGAATCCGTTGAGATTGAAGAAGGCGAAAGAGCTCTATCGCCTCATTGAAGAAATTGTTCCGCACATACCCGTTGATCATCGTGCTCCACGTGACCAAGTTCTTCTCAGGCATTTCGTCGAACAGTTGGCGTGCGGATGCGACATCCCCAATCTTGTTGTAACCAGCTATCATGGAAGTGCAAGAGACAACATCCAACCGGGTAATCCCACGAAAAATGGAACTAGCGGCGGCTATGTCGCCGAGATGAGCATACATGTTGACGAGCGAATTCTGGACGAAGACATCGTTCTCAAACCCATGGGTAATAATCTCGGCATGGGCTTGAGTTCCCATTCCCAAAGAACCCATTTCAGCACACGACTTGACCAAAAATGGGTAAGTCAGATTATCAGGAAAGACGCCGGCTTGCCGGGACTGGACGTAGAAACAGAATGACTGAGCTGGGTTCCGGCTGCCAGAAAATCCTCTGATCAGTGCATTGAAAATGAAAAGGTTTGGATTCTGGACTCGGCGAAAAAGCTCGACAGCGTAGTCGAGGAAGCCAGCGTTGATGCAGGAAGAAATCAAGCGGCTGGCGGCAAATACGTCGGAGATGGATTGGGTTGTGATCATGTGCGCATGGATGATTTTCAGGTGGGAGAGGTTGGAACAGGTTTCCAGCAACACGAGCTTCGGATTCTTTAGGCTTAGTGTCCTTAAAACTAAGCTGCTGCCGCTGGCGCCGACGCCTGCCATTCATTCTTCAGAGAAAAACAAAAACAACTGTTGTGTCTATTTAAAAGAAGGTATTTTGCATTGGAGAATTATTTTTATGGGAAAATCTGTGTTATTTCATTCAACCGGTATGTAAAGCATCACAATCCTTACAAGGAAAATTGGGGTCTATTTATAAGTGGTCTTGGGGTTTAGTTGATATTTAAAAAAAAGGTCTATTTACCTATATTTCTTCCCATCCCAGCAACAGAGTGTAGGCTAAAAGGTGCCCCGCCTGATTACAAATGCAGCCTGCAAATTTCACCTTAGCCTACCCAGCCCATTCACTTTGGCCCTTAACTCTTTACATAGTTGGTCGATCTCCACCATTTTAGGGTGGGCAACGAGAAACGATTATTTGGGTATACCCATAACCTATTCCGTTTTTTAGAGTTATGGGGTACCCAAATACTCGTAATATTTATTACACGATGCAGTTTGAGATTAAGAGTTTAAACATTAGGTACTTGCGGGTTACCCGGTAATACCCGTTTGGGTAATGTGGGTAGCTGTAATACCATTGCGATTTATTCCATATACAAATACTGAAATTTAATAATCAACCCGAGCCCAGACCAACTCGAGCTCGAGCCTGCCCAACCCAACCCGAGTGCTTGCATAATTCACCGGTTGTTGGTTATGACATGAGAGGCCAAGTTGATTGATGACAAGAAGACTCAACAACCGGTGAATTATGCAAACACCTCACATGGCCAACAAATGGATTGAAAAGTTTAATAGATGAGAAAATAATGTATGGGACACAATAACTATCATGTCCTTTCTCATTTACGTTCATGCATGAGTGGTGAGTTATGGTTTCTTTTGTTTTCCATTTTCATTATATATGTTGTATGGGTTTGTCAGAAGAATGGGGAGACAGACACAAAACAAAAAGAAAAGAAAGAAGTCTCTGCGTGAGTGTGTAAGACAAGAGCCAAATGAATAAGGCCTTGTTTGTTTGAGTGATTTATAAATTGAGTGATTAAACACCAATTGTTTCCTTTGTGTTGATCCTAAATTACCATTACTTCCGCTAATACCCAACAAATTTGGTATCAGAGCTTAATACCCTTCTATCCTCTTAAATCCCCATTTTTCTATCCTACCCAAATCTTCTAAACAAGCCATGGCAACAACTTCATCAAACACCATGTTTGCTACCTCCTCTAATCAAATTCCCATTTTCGATGGAGAATTGTACGGGTACTGGAGTGTCCAAATGGAGCCAATTTTCATCTCTCAAGATCTGTGGGATATCGTCCAAGAAGGCTACGAAGATCCACAAGACGGGGATGAAGACTCGAAGAAACGAGCAGGCAAGCAGACAAAGGAGTATAAGGAGAATGCCAAGCAAAATGCCAGCGCCTTGAGAATCATTCAGCAAGCAGTGAGCAAATCTATTTACCCGAGAATCTATGGCATCAAAAAGGCCAAAGAAGGTTGGGATGTCTTGCGTGAACAATTTCAAGGTTCTGAAAAGGCGATCTCCATCAGGCGACAAAGTTTATGGCGTCAGTTCGACAACTTGATGATGAAGGAAACCAACACCATCAAAGACTTCCATTCGCGTGTGGCGGAGACAGTCAACCAGATCAAAGCCACCGACGACGTCATGGAAGAAAGAAAAATTGTGGAGAGAATTATTCGCAGTTTGTCATCGAAGTTCGAGCATATTGTTGCTGTTATAGAAGAAACCAAAGATTTGGCAAATCTACCAATGAGCGAGTTGATGGGCTCACTTGTAGCACATGAGCAAAGAATGAGCCGATTCACCAAACCGCCATTGGAGCAAGCTTTCTCGTCAAAAGTCAGCATGATGGAAAGTAAATATGCCAAATCGGAGCAAGGCCAGAGAGGGGGAAACTCACAAGGAAGAGGAAGTGGAAGATCTAATTACAGAGGAAACAACAGACAAAATTTTCAACAACAAAAATCGGGCTACACCGGCTCGAGTTGCATAATTTGCAAAAAGGCGGGTCATGCAACAAAAGATTGTAGATTCAAGTGCACCAAGTGCAGAATTCAAAACCACTCCCAGAGAGATTGCTGGTTCCAGAACAAGCAAGAAGAAGGCGAGTCAAGCGGCACCAAAAGTGAAGAAAGCAATATGGTGGCCTTATCATGCTTGAATGGTGAGCAAAAGTCACAGCTTCCTGGATGGTGGATAGTGGTTGGAGTAACCACATGATTGGAGATCTGGAGTCCTTCACCGACATCGATGACAAATACCGCTCTCAAGTCAAGTTGGGAGACAGAAATAAGCTAAAAGTGGAAGGAAAAGGCACAGTTGTTGTAAGCACAGAAGAAGGCAACAAAACTCTCATTTGAGATGTTTTGTATGTTTCGGAGCTAACTCTCAATCTACTCAGCGTGGGACAACTGATGCTGAAAAATTACAAGCTATTGTTTGATAATGGCGTGCGCGAGATTATCAACAAAGTTGACAATTTCATGGTGGCCAAAGTCCCGATGACTTCCAACAGAATTTTCTCTCTTGCTATGTCACAAAATGGTGAAGTAGCATTCAAGAGTGAAAATCTGGAAATCCTTCCTATGGCATCTCAGATACGAGCATCTCAACTTCAAGGGCCTCAAATTGCCGAGGCAGAAAAATATGGTGGCAGGACTTCCCCAAATCAACAGAGAAGACAAAATCTGTGAAGGGTGCATATATGGCAAAATGCATCATTTGCCATTTCCAAAGACATCTTGGAGAGCAAAAGCGCCACTGGAGTTGGTACATGCAGACATATGTGGTCCAACCCGAACACAATCACTCAGCGGTAAAAGATATTTTCTACTATTTGTAGATGACTTCACCAGAATGATGTGGGTATTCTTTCTGGAGCAAAAGTTGGAAGCTTTTCCCAAGTTCCTTCAATTCCAAGCAGTAGCTGAGAAGGAAAGCGACCATCAAATCAAAACTCTTCGTACAGATCGTGGAGGAGAATTTATTTATACTCCGTTCATGGAGTATTGTCGCAACAACAGAATCAAAAGGAAGCTGACGGTCCGTTACACACCACAACAAAATGGCGTGGCATAACAGAAAAATCGCACGATTGTGGAGATGGCGAGAAGCATGCTCAAAGCAAAAAAGCTTCCCAACAACTTATGGGCAGAAGCAGTCAACACGACAATTTACATCCTCAATAGATCACCAACCAAAGCAGTTCGGAACAAGACACCGATACATGCGTGGCACCACAGAAGGCCACAGGTAGATCACCTCAAAGTCTTTGGGTGCATAGCTTATGCACATATCTCTACACCAAACCGAGACAAGTTTGACCAGAAGGGAGAAAAGCTGATCTTCACCGGCTACAGTGATGAATCCAAAGGCTATCGTCTTTACAATCCAGTAAAGAACGAAGTGGTGGTTTCACGAGATGTGATCTTTGATGAGATGGCGGAGTGGAATTGGGAAAATCCAATTTCTCAATCTCCACAAAGTTATGAAATTCTGGAGGACTTAGCAACTCCAGAAGACCCCAGCAACGACCCAGATCCAGTTGCAAGTCCGGAAAGAAATTTTGCACTTACCCAGAAGGAGACAACTTCAGAGACGTCGTAACAGACTCAGATTCACCTCCATTGAGAACAAGGTCTTTGCGAGAAATTTATGAAACAAGTCCTGTTGCATATTTTTCTTGTGAGCATCAAGTCTTTGAAGAAGCAGCCAAAGATGAAGTTTGGAATGAGGCGATGGATGCAAAAATTTCCATGATTGAGAAAAACAAGACATGGGAGCTTGTTGATCAACCGGAGGGCAAGCCGATTATAGGTCTTAAATGGATCTATAAGATCAAATTCAATGAAGATGGTTCTATCCAGAAGTACAAAGCTCGACTGGTGGCAAAAGGCTATTCACAACAGCCCGATATTGATTTTCACGAGACATATGCACCAGTAGCGAGGATGGAGACCATAAGAACAGTTCTCACTCTAGCTGCTCAACTGGAGTTACCAGTATACCAGCTGGATGTCAAATCCGCATTTCTGAATGGAGAACTAGAAGAAGAAGTCTATGTGGAACAACCACAAGGCTATGAGAAAAAAGGAGAAGAAGACAAAGTCTATCGTCTTCGAAAGGCTTTATACGGGCTAAAGCAAGCACCGAGAGCCTGGAACAGCAGAATTGATCGATATTTTCAGCAAAAACAGATTTCAAAGAAGTCTGAGTGAAGCATCTCTCTACATAAAAAAGGGAGATGGAAAAGTTTTTCTAATGGTTTGTTTGTATGTTGATGACTTGATTTACACAGGTACAAATCAACATATGATCGAAGAATTCAAAAGTACCACGATGAAAGAATTCGAGATGACGGACTTGGGAGTCATGAAATATTTTCTTGGGATCCAAGTGAAGCAGTCACCTGGAGAAATATTTATTTCACAGGAGAAGTACACCAAAGATATGCTGAAAAGATTTCACATGGCAACGTGCAAACCAATCTCAACACCAATGGCGTTAAACGAGAAATTACAACGCAATGATGGAGCTGAAAAAGTCGATGGAAAGCTGTACAGAAGTCTTGTCGGGTCACTCATTTACCTGACACATACCAGGCCGGATATATGTCATTCAGTAAGTCTTATATCAAGATTTATGAATGAACCTAGCAAATTTCATTTTGCAGCAGCAAAAAGAATTTTGCGGTATCTTCAAGGTACAAAGAAATTGGGCCTGATGTACAAGAAAGAAGCAGAAAGCAAACTGACTGGATATACCGATAGTGACTGGGGAGGATCACTGGATGATCGAAAAATCACATCGGGGTACATATTCTGCCTGGGTTCAAAACCCATTTCCTGGAGTTCAAAGAAGCAGAAGACTGTGGCATTATCTTCAGCGGAAGCAGAATATATCACAGCTACAGATGCAGCGTGCAAAGTAGTATGGCTAAAAAGATTAATTTCTGATTTGCAGCAAAATGAAAATGGTCCAACCATTATTCATTGCGACAACATGTCAGCCATAGCCATGACAAAAAATCCAGTATTTCACGCAAGATCGAAGAATATCGAGTTGCGTCATCATTTCATCCGAGACCTCGTCAACGAAGGATTAATCGTGATGGAATTTCTCAACACTGACG